ACAAGTTCCAGTAGGCTGTGCCTGTGCTGCTTGTGAGTGTGATGTTCAGTGCACGGTGCAGGTAGGCAGGAAGGAGGGGGTAAATTGTGATGTGTGGAGCTAAGATGGGTATGGGAAAGATGAGAGAGAAGAGGAACAGGAGCCAAAAACATACACACAAACTAAAAAGAGTGCTAAGGGAGCTTGCTACTGAAGTGGAGAGATGAGAGACTGAGAAATGAGCAAAAACAAAAATGAAGAAAAAAAAGAAAAAGGGTAAAAGAAAAAAATGAATAAATTGAGAAACTGGAAATGAAGGAAGACAAAAAGGGAATAAGAGAAGGAAACAAAGCAAAGAAACAAACAAAAAAAAAAAAACCCAAAAACAAAACCAAAGGAAAAAAAAAACAAGAAAAAAGAAATGCCCCCAGGGATGTCCCTGTGCATCTGCGCAGAGTAAGGGAATAGCTTCCAAGCCGCTCCGTGCTGCCTGGCTAGAAGGGGCTCCCAAGCCAAGAAAACAAACAATCAAAACAGAAAATCAGAGCAAACAAACAAACAAAAATGCCCCAGGGGTCCCACCAGCATGGCGGCATGGGCCGGGAAGCAGTTTCAGTCAAACAGTGTCTCGCAGCCTTTCAGGAAGAAGCAAAGATTGGTGCATGGAGTCAGGTATTTGAGACAAAGGAGGGGGAGGTGGTAAGAGGTAAGGAAGAAATCTAAAGAAGCAGAAAAAAGCAACACCAGCAGCCAACAAAAGGCACTCAGGGAGCTGGCCAACGCAGGCGGGTGGAATCCAAGCAACACCGGGGTGAAGCTGGTTCTTCCTGGCCAAGAGACTGTGGCTGCAAGAAGCAGAGGAGGCTAAGTGGGGGTGAAGAAGGGTTGGGGGTGGGAAAGCCTATATCGCAGGTTACCGGTTGTTCTGCCTCCTGCTGGAAGCTCCGTGAAGCTGCTTTCTCATACCCCCTGTTCACTGATCTCTGACAGGAGTCCAAGACAGCAGATCTGTGCTGCGGTAGCTAATAGGGGACCTCTGCATGTATCTCTCCTCACTCTCTGTTCTCAGTCAATTTCTTATTCCATTCGGTGCTTGGCTGAGTTCTTTATCTCTTCACTTGATGCTTAGGGTTTCAGGATTGACGTGTGACTCTGTTTGACTTAGTTTTTCTGATCTTTGCTGCAGAAGGACGGCGTGGTGCTTCTGCCTACAGCGCCATGTTGCCCAGAAGTCCTGGGCCTTTGGCTTTTAAAATTAAAAATTAAAAAAAAAAAACAAAAAAACCTGATAAACATAAATCAGATATGCATAGTGAGACCAGGAAACCAGAGACTTTTTATAAAGTGAATTTCAGAATAATAGTAACTTAAGTGTTCAAATTTTTGCTTTCCTTCTTGGTCCTTGGTTAAGTAAAATCACTATGTCTCATTTTATTCTTCAGTAAAATAGAATATAACATCAGCTTTTCTCTCAGTAAAAGCTTACATATTAATGACTCAAGTGCCTGGGAAATACCAAGATTCTATAAAAATGCTAAATAATTCATAGGAAACCAAACTATATGTCCTACTCTCATTCAAAGAATAATGTAAGGGGTCCCCCGTGCTGCTGCAGGTTAACCTCCACTGCCATGAGAGGCACAAACTTGCACTGGTTTGGCCTGGTGGCCCTTGGCAGCCTTCATCTCACCCAGGCCACCTGCCCGTGTAACTGAGGTGAGCAGTCAGTGGCTGAAAGTCATTTAGCAGTTATAGATTTATCCTGGAACAGGGATAGTGATGAAAGCTGACACAACGCCAGCTGTTTTCTGAGGAAACCCATCAGCCTAGGTTCCCTTGAGAAATGCTGATGTTGCTAACATAACACGTTTACCAGTGATTTTACTACTGTTCTGAGAATGTTTACTAAATGGGGAGGGGGGGTGTTTTATGTAGAGAAATACAAGACAAAAATAAATGTCTATCTTTGCATGCACAACTATATACACATGCATATACGAACACCACACTTTAAGCCTATGATATTCCATTTAGACAGAGTAAGGTTTATATAGCTCCAGATTTGTGAAGTCCTGCAGTGAACTTGGAGCCCTGGTGGCAGAGTGGTTAAGAGCCTGGCTGCTAAACAAAAGGCTGGCGGTTAAAATCCACCAGTCGCTCCTTGGAAACCCTATGGGGAAGTTCTACTTTGTCCTATAGGGTCGCTATGAGTCAGAATCAACTTGATGGCAAAGCGTTTGGTTTGGGTTTGGTGGTGAACTTACCATGGGTCACACAGGGCCTTCAGAATTTTGAAAACAGCATACCAATATTGCAAAGTGAGACAATGTTGAACAATGAACTAATTTCCCAGAATACTGAGTTAGCATGTCAGAGGAACTTGGACAAAGGTATTTTTGATTCTTCTGTCTGAACAAATCTACCTGTGTCTCCTCCTTGTCATCGACTCTGAGTGTCCCAGCATAGCATACTTTTTTTAGGCCCACAGGTCCACAGGGCACACTGTACACCAGGTGATCCCACCTGCCCCTGGCCACAGCTGACAAAACAAGGGACAGGAGCCTGGCAAAGGGCCACCAACCTAGGGTCTCTAACTCCACCAGAATATCATCTCCTCCCACCACAATGTGAACTTGGTCTCTTTCATGACCCCAGGGCTTAAAACAGGTTGAGTACTGTTAAGTAAAAATATTCAACGATGGACTGGTGGGCACAAAAGATGGGCGGGGCAAAGCAGACTTTCTCAGGAGGATGAACTAAGAATCAAGGAGAAACTACGAGACCATGAGGAAGAGGGGTCTGTGTGCAGGTGAGGTTACATATTAATGACGAGATGAGTTAGGATCAATAAGAAAGGGGCGAGGGAAGAGCTGAAGGAAGGAAGCCAGCAGAGTGAGACAGAAAGACATAAATAAGATCATTCACCCCCCTGCTTGTCACACATAGAATTGGGTCCAGTGAGGAGGGGGAGGTAGGGAAAATTACTAACTAGATAAGAAGACACATGTTAATATTGGTGAAGGCAATACACAATATGGGGGAAGTCAATACAACATGACCAAAGCAAAGGAAGACACTGAGAGGAATGCAAGAATAAAGGGCAACTACTGTAATTACTATAATATAGACAATCCTGCAACAATAGTATTAACAATAATTTATGAACGGATACACAGGTAGATAGGTAAGCTAAAGAGGTATGGGAGGGTGTAAGGGAGCACACCCACCTGCAGATACAGGTTTGATTGAGGATATTTCTATATATATAACTGTGGGTGCTGCATGTATTTTAATACAGACAATAGAGCACACAAGGGGCACAGTCATGGAAACTTCTTAGCCATAACCAAACACCTTGCGGGACAAAGTTCCTAGGCTCAAAGGCAAAGGAACACAGACTAGGGGGACACCTATGTCAGTTGGAACAACATAGTTCATAAAGACAATATTCTGCCTCCTCCTTTGGTGGGTAGCCTCTGGGGTCTTAAAAACTTGCAAACAGCCATCTAAGATACAACTATTAGTCTCTTCCCATCCGGAGCAAAGGAGAGTGAAGAAAATCAAAGACTCAAGGGAGCAATTAGTCTAAAGGACTAATAGACCACATGAACCACATCCTTCATGACCCCAAGACCAGAAGAACTAGATGGTGCTCAGCTATCACTACCAACCACTCTGACTGGGATCATAACAGAGCATCCTGAACAAAGCGGAAGAAAAATGTAGAACAAAAAGTAAAATTCACAAAAAGACCACACTTACCAGTCTGACAGAGACTGGAGGAACCCTCGAGACTATGGCCTTAAGACACCTTCTGACCTGGAACTGAAGCCATTCCCAGAGACCTGCTTCCAGACAAACAGTAAACAGGTCCATAAAATAAACAGTAACACCTTAGAGGAATATGCTTCTTAGAACAATCAATCATATGAAATCAAAAGGGCACTATTTGCCCAAAAGCAGAGATGAGAAGGCAGGAAGGGGTAAAAAATCCAGATGAAAGGAAATGGGGAACCCAGGGTGGAAATGGGAAGAGTGCTGACACATTGTGGGGAATGCAACCGATGTCATGGAACACTTTATGTACAAACTATTGAATGGGAAATGAATTTGTTCTGTAAACTTTCACCTAAAGCACAATAAAACATTAAAAAAAAAAAAGAACCGAGTCCTATGAAGCTGTGTATGATGCCCTCCCTGACCTGCTTCCTCAGGCTGCCCCTTACCAGCACTGCACAGCCAAACTGCCTCCTGGTTGCTCTGTCTCAGGTTTGCCCTGGTTGCGCCTCTGCCGGGAATGCTCCCCCCCAGAGATCTCCACAGCTAACCCCTAGAGTCACTGAGGTTCTGGTCAAACGTCATCTTCTCAGAGAGCCTTCCCTGACACTCCAAAACAGCAACTGCCATACTTATTCTCTACCCCAAAACTAAACACCGATGTTACATTATATATTCGCTTAATATCTGTTTCCCCCACTAAAGCGTAAGCTCTACAAAAGGAAGAACTGTGCCCATATTTTCTTCACTGCTGTTACTTTACTACACAGAACAGTGTCTGGCACCGGGCTGTTGCTCAATAAATTTGTGCTGAAAACAAAGAAAGGCAGCTGAGTCACAAGAGTGACAGACCCAAGAGAAAAGATCCATGAATTCCTGCTGCTGGGGAATCCATAAGCCTGGTCCTAGAGAGCTTCTATTCCTGGATCTGGGTGACATTTCATTTCCCTTATCACTCATGAGACTAACCAAAAATGGCCCCAAGACTTGTGCTGGAATAAGACAGAACCAACAATGATACCACCTTCTACACAGCCAGCCCTGCTGAGCCCTCTGTATGCTGTCTCACTCTGTCCTTACAATAACCTTGCAGAGAGGCTGCTGAACATCCCAGTGCACAGGGCAGCCCCCCACAACAAAGACTTGTCTGGTCCAGAATGTTAGTAGCACCGAGGATGAGAAACCCTGCTACAAAGGACTACAGATGGAAACAGGTGGTGAGAGACATTTAACCCAGATTTTACCTTCTGCACCTCTGTCACATACTGGGACACCATGAAGGGGGAAAACACGGTAAACTCTTCCGCTTTGGCTGCGATGTGGCTGTACATCCTTTCGACCAGGCGCGCACACTCTAGGACCATCGTCAGATCTTCTGTGCTTCCTACCAACATCAAAGCATAGCCAGATGGGTCAGTGCAAACACAGAGCATTTCACACCCAATTTTATACTTTTACTATAGATGGAATTGTCTCAGGTCTTCCATTTTTTCCAAACTCTTTAATTCGTCTGTTTTACAGACAATAAGGGAGAAAAGATAGGGCTAAATATTTATCATATAACTAAGGAAAGAACACTTAAATTACTCAAGAGCCTACGGGCTTTTTTAAGGGTCTAACTAGAATAGATAATCAAGAATTCTTAGGATGAAATCTAGGACTGCTGTTGTATTTAAAAAGAGATGGATCTTTACAAGGAAGACTTAAAAGAGAAGATTATCTTGAATGAGAAAAATGTTTACTGACGTTATATGATTAAAACCATAAGATGCCCTAATTCTGTCTTTGCTTCATTATGTTTCAGAAATTGTTTGCTTCAGGTTTTCCTTTTATAGGCAGATAGGTAATAAGACACGATTACCTTCACTAGATATCCCCCGTCTTCTAATTTCTGACTCCTACTTCTTCCCATCTTAAGAGGCCAGCATTACCCAGACCCTTCTTGACAAACTCTACCCAAGAATTCTAAAAGCCTAAAATGCCCCCACAGCTCAGGGCACACTCCACTTCCCCAGGCCATCGTGCACAGGTGGGAAAACCCCAGTAAGCACCAGACCACCTTCCTGGCTTTCATTCAGCATAATGACACACTGATTTTTATAAAATTCTAGAAAATGCAAACTAATCTATATGACAAAAAGCAGATCCACGGTTGCCTGGGGCTGGGGAGTGGACTCCAAAGAAGTTTAAGAGGAATCTTTTGGAAATGATGGAAATGTTCTTTATTTTGATTGTGGTGGTGGTTTCACACATGTATGTAATTGTCAAAACTCACTAAATTGTACACTTTAAATGGATGCAGTTTGTTATACATAAATTACATCTCAATAAAGTTGACTTCTAAAATGCAAAACACCTTTTTTAAGACTCTGAATATTCATATTTGAAGACCCCAATATATGTATAAACATCTTAACTACACATATATGCATTTTTTTCTAGATCAATTTAATTTTATGGCGACATTAAGTTTATGGACATTTCAACAGGCAGTAAGCTTTAGTGATGTCCTTCAATATTTCTTCTCTCAATATACTCATGCTGTTCACAACATGAATACCTGGCATTTGTTACTTCAGCCACAGATTTAATGTCTGGTCGTTAATAAAAATGCATTAGATATCAACAAAAAGAGTTAGAACTCGACTCAGTAAAGCAATTAATACATACAGAGAACCAAGTCTTGGTAGATTAGGGACAAGCAAGCTATGCTGACATGGATGTCAGCAAGAAGCCACAGATGTAGAACTTGCCCCCATGCTTCCCCAGGAAAGGTGGCAAAGGACTGCTCCAGCTGCAGCAGGACATCCCTGTGGTAGAGTGCACCCAGGGCCTCCTCTCCCCACTGCTCAGCATGGCCCAGCTCAGCCTGGTCTCTGGCCCTCTCCTGTCCAGGCTGGCACCACTACTCACACAGGAGCGCTTTCTTTCTGAGGTCAGATGTGCTCTTAGAGGCCTCAACACAGTACGTGTAGGTAGCTACCACCAACTGGGGCTGACATGTGAGATGAAACTTATCTGCCCATCCTGGTCCTAAATATATCCACAATATCAAACAGACAGCTATGGGAGAGATGGAAATATCCAGAACTATACACAAGTAACTTGGGAATTACAGTCCAGTGTTAACTATGCCTTTTCTCTTTTCTCAAAAGTTGATTGGGTCAAGTAGCTATTGCTTAAAGCTACTGAACCCAGTAAACTAGTTCAAATTGGTGGGGAGAAGTTGAGTCCCACTCAGATATTTCTCACAGGGTCTCCTCTGACACCCTCAAATCTATCAGATCTCCTTTGTGGTTCCCCAGCATCCCATCTGATACCCTATTCTCCTGCTTAGCACATTACACGGCTGGGACTGGTCCATGCTAGGCATACTCGAAATAGTACAGTATTAAAATATATATAAAGTCTCATAAAGGTGCCAACTTCTTAAAAACAAGAATCTCCTGAAAATTAAAAATTCACCAAGAATCCAAACACTTCAGCGCTGATAAATGACTTGTAAACGTGAGTTGTGCCATCACCATATGGCAGTGTTTGCTTCACTAGTGAACAAAACAGCCTGCCAAGGTCAGGCTGGGATTGCAGCTCCAGGAATCTTCCTGGCAGGTATAACATGAGAGCACTCTACAACCACCTCTCCATTTCTCACCTCCCTGCTAAACTAAAAACTCCCAGAGGGCTGGAGTGGGCTGGAGTCATTTTTATAGCCCCTGAAGCAGAGTACATGCTCAATAAATACTTCCTGAGTCTAGATATTTTTTCCAGAAAAGTAACTATTTCAATTAGGACATACCAAATGCACTCACTGTTTTAGACATAGTGAAAAGTGACAGTTTGAAATTTAAAAATAACTTTGAATAATCTCAGCATTTTTCTTATTTAGGCTCAACTGAATATAGTTTTATTTTTAGCAACATATTCATTCCATGATAAATACATGTGAAATAGTGTATCTGATGATACTGTTACTTTGAATTACCTTTGTCTTTCTGTCGCCCTTCCTGCATAACTGAAAACACCAATCTATTAAAAGAGTTCAAGAAAGAAGGGATGGCTTTCAGCATTACCTGTAATAATAACAGATAATACAAAAACATGTAAATAATTATACACTGAATTTTTTCTATTTTAAAGGCGCTCATAGTTTTCTTTCTTTCTTGTGTGTGCCCAACTGTAGCAACTTCCTTTCCTCCTAAACTTTCTGGAATAACTGCTCACCTACTCTTGTTATTTGACACTTTTCACCCTTATTTTAGGAGTCTGGGGCAGGGCTTCATGCAGCATAGCTTCAGGAACCTAATGAGGCAATCCTGGTTTAGAATTTGTTGAATCTGTGCCTTTTACTGTAAACTGTTTCTAACCATTCTGGAAATGGGTAAAATGAATAAAATAATAATGACCAATTTATTCAAGTATAATTATACTAGGAAAAAAGATTACATGACGCAAATCTACCTAAAATGGGGAGCAAAACTTCTCAGTTAATAATGATGAAAAGATTTATATGCATTGGTTTATATTCAGTCAACCATCCTTAGGTCATGGTTACAACTATCCACTAATTCTTTGCTGTCCAATACAGCAGCCACTAGCCACATGTGACTACTTAAATTTAAATGAATTGAGATAAAATTAAAAATTCAGTTACTTAGTTGCACTAGCCACTTTTCTAGACACACGTGGTGAGCAGCTGCCATATCAGACAGTGCAGACACAGAATATGTCCACCATGGCTAAAAGTTCTGTTCAACAGCACTGCTCTAATTCTCAGAAGGAACTGAAAGTAAATCAAGTCTTGCAATTATTTTCCTTGGTATAATTTATCCAACCAAATTTCTTGGTAACACAATACTACATCCTTCATGCCAAACTGGAATTTTGAGCATGTTCAGAAAGAAGTTATTTTTTATTTTATTTTTTTTATATTTTATTGTACTTCAGGTGAAGGCTTACAGAACAAATAGTTTCTCATGAAACAGTAGTACACATGTTGTTTTATGACATTGGTTAACAGCCCCACAATATATCAACCTTCTAACTTCTCAACCTTTTTTTTTTTTTTTGGTGAAAATACACATAGCCAAAGATACACCGTTTCAAAAATTTCTACATACAGATCTGGGGCCCAGAATGCCTGTGTTTAAATCCTGACTTATTATGTGATCATGGGCAAATTACCTAACCTTTATGACTGTTTTCTCATCTATAAAAAGGTGATAACAGTAGGTTGTCAAGAAGACTGAGTAAGTTAAAACATGTAAAGTGCTTAGAATAGTACCAGCTGCTGATCTTTCTACTGGGTACACTGGCTGTGCTGACTTCTTGTATACCTTTTGCCCTTTACCTAAGCAGTTTCTAACCTGGTATTTACATGAATCCAGACCTACTATCAACATCATCAATGCAGTTATCATGCATCAGCATGCATGCCTCTTTCCCCCATTCAACTTCATAGGTGGTATAGAAGTGTAAGCTACTATTATTTGTTACATCATTCTTTTTTGCAATACCATGTCATTATCCTTGTCAATTGTTTCCTTTCATTAAACAGTCTAATTCCACCAAATGGTCACTTGTTAATGGTTCTGCAGAAGATTCAAGCACTTTCTAGTATTACTTTTATCAATGACATGAAATCCTGCGTCTTCTGCAAGATCTACAATTTCAGCTTGTGATTGATTTGCACAGCAGTTATATTGTATGGACACATCAAAATCTAACAATCAGCAGAGAGATTTAATAACAAAGATGCTGACAAGATAGGCAGGGTCCAACTGGGGAAGGCTCTGGAGTGGGGTCTAATTTTATAAGTACTTAATTTGTAATAGAACAGTTTTTTAAAACTGCATTGCTGGTAGGTCTCTATCCTTAGAACATTAAAGGAATTAAAAACATTTGAATGTACATGTGTATATGCGGTGCGATGGATCACTTTTGTGTGGCTATCGGTCTTGTAACTCCCACCCAAGTGATTGGGCAGGACCGTGTGATAGGGTAATTGTAGCCCACCAAAGGGATTGGTCAGTTTTGCCATACTGCTGGGCTTGAAATGAGCCACCCCAGAGGCAGGAAAGAGAAGATCCCACCACCACCAAGGAAGAACAGCCAGAAGCCAGCACGTCCTTTGGACCCGGGATCCCTGCGCTGAGAAGCTCCTGCAACCAGAAGACAGAAACAGAGAGAGCTGTAACACTGGAGGCAGTGAGAAGCAGTGGCAGAGACCAGGTGGCAGAGAACCGGCAGTAAGAGATGACAGCACGGTGGGCTTCCCAGCCCACAGAGAGAGAAAGCTGAGTGCCTTTGGGCAGAGGCCCAGGCCACGGAGAGGTGTACCTGTGAGCTGTGAGCACGGCAGGGAAGAGGCTGTCCTGATGGAAGAACTGTATCCTGAGTGTTCCTGAGCCTGAATTGTAACTGTTACTTCCCTCATAAACCCCGTAATTGTGAGTTCTCCTCAGAACCGTGAGTTCTGTGTGGCCATTGCAATGAATTATCAAACCCAGCAGAGAAGTAGAGAGCGCTGTGTGAGGGACGTTTGGTGTCAGAATCAGTAAAGATTGTGGAGAGGAGGCATGTCTGACCTCTGCCTAATAGGAGTCAGCCTTGGGCTGCTGATCTTGGTTCTCCTTCCTCCTTGTGAAGGTAGAGAAGGCCAGATACCGCCCCATGCCAATTTTACAGTGTATGTGTATATACGATAATATTGATGAGTCCCCACTTATCAGTCATGTGTATAGCGGTGGCACAGTGAAAAAGAACAATGGTCAGCAAAATCAGCAGTCTTAAGTCTAAGATTCAGATGCACATAGGTGAAATGGTCAAATCATTTAGCCCTTCTGAGCCTCAGTAAAATGGGTTACCACCTAGGGATGAAATGAGAGTCAGAGCAAATGTTTGATAAATGTTAGCTGAACTGGAATCTTTTCTATGGGACATTTACTCCTAGTCTGAGTTTAATTTAAAAGGTAGAATACTATAAAATTAGGAACTCAGGGTGTCTCACTCCCTATACCCATGTAAATGATAAACCCAAGAGCAAATCTAAGCAAGTAAGTTACTCATTTAAATACGTGGTCCGTACCAGCAGAATAATTTCTAACGAGCTTCCTTAAACAGCTAGTACACAAACACTGTTCAAAACGTTGGATCCAACAAAGATGAATTCACTCGAACAGCTAGATGTGAATGCTGAGCATTATGTGCTTGAGAAAACCACTCTGGCCCTGGAAATTACTAGAACCAAAAAGTTCCCTTAGCAAATCATTATTTTTATCATCCTGTAACAGTAAAGTTTTACTGCTGCTTTTCTGAAGGCTAAAATCCCCTTTTAAAAAAAGAAAAAGCTGCCTGATGCACTTCTCCCCTTTCTCCCTCACCTTTGGGTGACACTGGAGGATTGAAAAGAGCACGTTGTGAATCCTCGGGAAGATGCTGCCATACTCCAAAGGCTTCAGCCGATCCACAGGCACTGCCAGGAGAATGCTGAAGGCCAGACTGACGTGGTGGGGGTTGTGAATGATCTCCTCCCCCTGCCGCAGCAGGGAAGCCAGGATGTCTAAAATAGGCCCCACAACCGTGAGGATCAAAGACTGCTCCTGGCAAGCCTCTCGGTTTTGCAGCTACAAGGACAGGAAGGGAAATAAAGATGACTCTCTAAAGAAATGATGCAAGAACAGAAACACTGAGTGACCGCAGTAAAATGTCTAGACTCTAAAACAAACTGACGCAGGTCAAAAGCAGTGTGAACAGACAAGAAGGCCCATGTCCAGTCTCCAAGGGCTACCTGCTAGGGACTCAACTGCTTTGGCCCACAATTTTTGTTGGATTCATCGACCATGACAAGAAGTAATTTCTTATAAAAGAGCTGATTCAGGCAATTTCTCAAGAAACCTGCAGACAACTTGGTCTTACTGCATATCAGATATAAACCAAAACCAAACCAAACCCATTACCATCGAGTCGACTACAACTCATAGTGACCCTACAGGACAGAGTAGAACTGCCCCATAGGGTTTACACAGAGCGGCTGGTGGATTCAAACTGCTGACCTTTGATTAACAGCTGAGCTCTTAACCACTGCGCTGTATACGTAACAATATTTTTCCCCGAAAGATCATTAGCTCCACAGGTCTACAATTACACTTCATTTGATAATTTCTTAAAAATCACCTCTAGTTAAAGACTTTCCATTACGTTCTAGAATAAAGAGAGCAGTCTCAAGATGGGGAATAGCTCTGGGTCTTGTCCACGTAACCTTGGAAAGTCCACATGGTGACTCTCTCTTACTCAGCCACTACCATCTGTAAAGCAGCCCCAGGAGGTCTTCTGGGATCCTGACGTCTCAACCTGTCTCTCATCATGCTGACCCTTGTGCTGGGTATTCTGGCTGTGCTGACTTCTTGTTGCACCCTTTAGATTTACGTACGCAGCTTCTAGCCGGTGCTTACGACAACCCAGACCTGCTGTGAACGCTGCCAACACTGTGGTCACGTATCAGCACGGTCGCTCTCCCCAGTGAACCCTGCATGCTTCTTCTTCTGATGCTCACAACACATGCTGGGTATAGGCATCGTGCCTCACCTACCAATTCATCTGCCAATGCAGACCCGTGGGAAAATGACAACGCAGCAACACAGAAAAACAGCAGGGAACATGAAGTTTACTCTTTAGACCCCCTCAGGTGGCAAAGGCTTGAATTAGCACTGATAATGACAGTAAAACAGATATTGTTAAGAATACTCGTTTCAGCAGCTTTAGAGGGCAGAAAAAGTGAGACATCCCCAATTTGAACTAGGCTTTTGTTCCAGGGACACAAAAAGTCATGTGACTATTGTGTATGTTCACAAGGTGCCAAAATTTGACATATGGGTAAGATTATAACAAGACCCTCCTGTGTACAACACTCCTACCCCAATCTATAAAGCCATTTTTTTCCTCACTGTACCACAGGCCTTAAACACACACACCCACACATTCACAATCGTACAAATGAATGCATGCACTAAGCTGATCACAAGATTTTTTGCTGGGGGAGACAAAAGCAGCCCCAGCGTTCCACCTTATCTGTCTCGTTAACGCAGCCCTCATCTTTTCACCACCTTCCTTTTTTTTACTGCCTGCCTAATTCTCCCACACGCTCCAACACTCCCTTTACACCACCTCTGAACCATTTCTACCAGAGATACCAAATGTGCTCAGACAAAAGCACACAAAACCAGCACTCTGCTTTACAGACATCTTCAAGAAACAGCCTTCAGAAACACAAGTGCATAAAATCAGAGAAGGCAGAATCAAACAATGTGACTTTTGTCCATACACGAACAAACAACTACAAAGCGAAGGAGGCAAGACAGACGGAGTCCGTGACTCCAAAGGATACTTACAGTGAGAGCTGTGATCATCTGGGGGCACGCGAGCCAGAATAGACTTGCTTTCTCTCCACTTAATGGGCAGCTCAGCAGCAACTTGATCAATGTAATAGCCGACAAGACAGCCTAAGGCAAAAGGGAAATAAAACTGAATAGCAGGAATAACCACCTCTCTCTTAAGAATCCTCTCTTAGAAGAAGCCTGGTCACTGGTATCAAAGTGACAAAGGAGAACCCCAAGGACTGTAAGGTCAGCAGACACGAGTGAGGTTTGATTTATGTTGAGTCCGGAGGGTGATGCCTTTATATCACCACACAGACAGGGAAAAAGTGAGCGAGATGAGCAGAACTAGGCAAAGAAAGGATCTTTTTAATAACATCTCACTAAACCAAACATCTAAATGTAACAGAACAGTGAAAGGCACAAATCTACAATGGTCTAACTAACAGAGATCCCATCTCACTGAGATCCTCCTGTCAATAAAGCTGACACTAGCTGTGATTTAACTGGGCAAACGCATACATGCTTATGGATAGAAGGAGGGGTTAGCAGGAAACAGAGAAAGTATAACCGGATTAGGTGCTGTGATCATAGGTGATTTCTCTAAACCATGAGAACATGCGGGAAGGGAACTAACATTATTGAGTGCCACTACGTCTGACCCTGTGGTGGGCATTTAACACAAGCAATCTTGCCTTACACCAGCCTCCTCTCTCTCCTCCTCCACTAACACCGCATATCCATCAAAAAAAAAAAAACCCAAATCAGTTGCTGTCAAGTTGATTCCATGTGTTGTAACCCCACATGTTGCATAGGGTTTTCAAGGTTGTGATCTTTTGGAGCAGAATGCCAGGCCTTTCTTCTGAGGTGCTGCTGGGTAGACACAAACCACCAACCTTTCTGTTGGTAATCAAGCACTGCAAGGTGTGGAACCTCCTTGGAGAAAACAGTTTGGCCTTTGGACCTGGTTCCTGAGAGCCAGAACACACCTGAGGCCAATGAGTGGGGGCCCGATGCTGACCTAGCCCCGGGTGGTAGGGGATGAGAGAGAGAAGGGGCTGGTACCTGCTGACCTAGCCCCAGGTGAATGGAGATGAGAGAGAGAAGAGCTGGGTAGGCAGCCAGGATCTGAACTGACCAGGGAAGGGAAACTGACATTTCTAGAGGACGCAGTTAGCCTGTGGAGTGGGGTTTGTTATCCACTGCACATTTCGCACCAGAGGTGGATGATCTCAGCCTCTCCAGGCTGGTCTGACAGTGCAAATTGGTGCAGGAAGTGGGGTTAGCTAGAGAGAACCCGCACTGCTCAACCACTTAACTGCCTGTGCCACCAGGGCCTCGTTGGACAGCCGCAACCCTGGCCACAATTCCAGATTCTCCCCTCTGCTCTTCCTTTCCTTCTCAAGCCCTCTGGTTATCCATACTTAATAACTCTGAAATCCCCACTCCGGCCCTGGCTTCTCACCTGAAGTCCAACTCCAATTTTCAACCACCTGCAAATGCGTCCATCCACCCACACCTACATGGCCTGGCGCCTCCTCTCCCCATCAATCTCCTCACACTCACACACCCTCTGTTCCAGGCAGACTGGCATGTCCACTGTCCTTGGCACACACACCAAGTTCTCACCTCCCTGCCTTTGAAAGCACCCTCTCGTAACAGTGTTCTCCCTTCCTCCTCACTGCCCCATCCAAATCATTGCCACTCTTCAATGCTTGGCTCAAGTCTTACCTACAGAAGTCTCCTTCTGGTGATCTGACTGGTCTCAACATGAATCAGGACCTCCTTTCCTTTGGCTTCCTGAAGAGAAACCTACTCAGAGCTGGGCCCTCTTGTGCTGCGGACACACACAGTGAACGTCTCCAGAGAGAGATGTGCAAGCAGCTTGGGGAGGGGGTGGGCTAAGGGGCAGAGAAGGCTGTGCAGAGCAGCTGAGCCCTCTCCCCAGCCCCCTCTCCTCTTAAGAAGTAGATATAAGTTCTTATTACTGCCCTACTCTGATCTGCCTTCCACTGAAGCTCCCAAATTACCCTCTTGCTCTCCTCCCACCCAAATCAAAACGCACCCCTGTGTGCTGATTATAACCCAGAGCTAAGAAGCCACTCATGAGGCTGAAGAAGCTTAGAGTCAAAAGACCCTGCCTCTGATCCAGGCCCTATACATCGTTAGCTGTGGCCTTCGGCATGTTCCTCAATCTCTCAGTCTGAAAACTGGGATAATATCCAACCAGCCTACTTCATGGGGCTGTTTACACTGTGTGAAGTCCACACAGAGACACTCTGACATACAAGACCAAATGCAAGTGCAGGATTTGACTAGTAATTACCTCACTGAAGGGCAACTTGCTAACCTAAATGATAATTAAAAGATGGGATTCAGGTAGCATGACCAAGTCAAGTGAAATTTTCCAAAAAATATGAAAAAAGTTCTAAGCAAAGAGCAGAATTTACATTTTTACGTGTTAACATTATGAGTATGTATAATTAGCATTTCATGTAACAAGAGCACGTATTTGTAATTTGAAAAAGTTCTCCTTTGGAAAATGTTGTTGTTGTTGTTAGCTGCCTATGTACAACAGAACGAAACACTGCCCAGTCCTGCGCCATCCTCACAATTGTTATGTTTCAGCCCGTTGCTGCAGCTACTGTATCAATCCATCTCATCGAGGGTCTTCCTCTTTTTCACTGACCTCTACCTTACCAAGCATGGCTCTGATAAATAAGGCATCCTCACACTGAGACCCAGGCCCCTCCGGAGCTCATAGATCTCTGCCATCCATAAGCAACTCCTATAGTCATTATCAGTTTGATTTTTCTGTTTGTTGGTTTAGTTTTTCCAGTAAGTTTTCCCACTTGAAACTATGTCATTCCTGTGCCTGTCACAGCAGAAGAGAGAAGCCCCCACCTGCAGATCCGCTGTCCACACATTACTGACATTCAGTCCTTGGAGAACACACCGCATCACCATCCTGAAGTCCTCGGTTGTCCCAACTGCTAACATCTGGGTAAACAAGGCTCCCAGATGAGGCTCCATGTCCTGAATCACCTGACTGGGAACTTCAGGATCTGTGCGGAAAAGAAGCCAAAACTGTGAAGACGTAACAAAGGGACAGGTTAAATGAGAATAGCCACGTGATGAAACGTACGCACCCATTAAGGTTTGAGGAGCGTGGAAAATAAAACTCCTAAGTGCCGGATGCCAGGAGTGGTGCACACCTCAGCCTTTCTCACACAGTCCCAACCTCACGAACACACACACACAGCTGCATTTGTGTATGCACACGAGAAAAGGGATGTCTAACGACGGTTAACTCTAGACCATGGGCGTACGGGGGACTGTCACTTTCTTTATATATAGTTTTTCTATATCCATAGTAATTCCTTTGCAAAATCAGAAGTGGTGTGGGCGTGGGTGGTATACTTAAGTAGATACGAATGTTGAAAGATTAAAAGGACCCCAAATTTTTCAGGGTCACCTTTTAAAGTAAGCCAGTTCTGTTTCCCACTTAGGGCAGGAAAGCATTCTGGCATTCCCAGGGGTCTTGGCCCAAAGTCGACAGGACATCCAAAGCCCTCTATAATCTGACTTTAGCTTATCTCTCTAGCCTAACATTCCATCCCCATCAGACTATTCCATGTGGCCAGAATACCTTCCTGCTTCCAGTCTTTGCTTACTGTTTATAACATGGGGAAGAAGACAGTGCGATAGGCTTTGAAGGATAATGACCTAGGTTCAAGTTGTAAGACCCTGGACTCATGACCCAACCCCTCTGAGCCTCAATTCCCTCATCAGTAAATGGGCATAATAGCACCGACTCCTGTGTTGCAAAATAAAAGAAGGGATACAGTGCTTATGGCAGTGCTAACCACGTGGGAGGCACTTGGAATTATCTCTTCCCCTACCATGTCCACCTGCTCTTTCCTCCTTCGAAGGCCATTGCTTACTAATGCTTCGCCTGTACAGAATCTCTCCACCCGAAGTGCCGTGGTCCTTACTCCCTTCACAGGCTCTCACCCTCCTCTACTTGGGATTTACATGACTTCAGTTTGCTTAATTTGACAGGTCAAAATCATACCTCGCTCATCTTCATAGTAGGATATAGGTCCACATACACAAAAAGCATTTTTTAAAGTGTTTATTTTTTTAATTGAATTGAGGTTGCCTATTCTACTGTTGAAATCCTGGCGGCACAGTTGTTAAGAGCTCAGCTGCTAACCAAAAGGTCAGCAGTTCGAATCCACCAGCTGCTCCTTGGAAGCCCTATGGGGCAGAGTTCTACTCTGTCCCATAGGGTCACTATGAGTTGGAATTGACTCGATGGCAATGAGTTTGGTTTGGTTTTGGTTATTCTACTGTCAGAAAGCATTCTCTATAAACAACTCATTTTTATGAGCTGAAATTACCTCTAAGCTGCCCCGAGGGCACAGGGATAGCTCCGCTCGCTCATCTGCTGCTGCTCCCTGGCTATGGAAGGGACTAGAACACATGCTCTGCCTGCCCAAGGCCTTCAGCCACTTCTCACCTGCATTTTGTCCAGCCCTCTCATCACTCTGGTCATCCTTTTCTAGGCAGAGTCTAAAAGACCAGGATCACTGCTAAGATGTACAAGGCCTGGACCCACAGGCAAAGCTCTGAGCATGTGGCCTGAGGGACAATGCAGCAGCCAGGTCTCGCTCATCCTCAGTCTAGGACCCCACGCTTCCACTGCACAAACCACAACTGTGCGTGCTCTGCCACAAGTTAGAAGCACCCAAAATCCAAGAATGACACAGCTGAGGTCTAAGAATTATTTAAAGTCACAGGGTGGGAGGAAAATAAGGGACACAGCATTCTGTTTAAAACAGGGGCAGGGGAGCCAAGGCTTCTTCAGACCTTCAGCTGTCATTTCTCAGGACATTCAGTGAAAGCTCTATAACTAGTCTTAATGAAAAGACTACATTTTAGCCCCCAGTAAGAAGGTGAACACCATACAGCAAGAGCTGCTGACAGAATAAGGCAGAACAATGTGATACCAAAGCCTTTTTAAAGGAACCCACAATCATGCCAGAGAGACAGAACGGTTATTGACAGGGAGACAATGGCCACATTATTCAGACCACAGCACTTAAATTCTGGCTCTGGCCCAGGCAGACCAGGTGGCCTTACTTCCTAGAAGGCTACACTTAATTAACTCTTCTGTATCTGAAGCATGGCCTGTGATCCCTCAATCAAGAAATTTGAGTACACAGGGCATCTCAGTATAGCTTATCTACAGGGAAGCAGAAATACAGTCATGTGTTTTAAAGGTTAGGCTTGGCTGATGGACCCCAATCTTCCTCAAAAGGCTATTCTAACTCTAACTCCACCCTCAATAACAACGAAAAATCCAGAATAAACAACAAAAAAACAAGCATGCCAATTGTAGTGTGTGCTATCTTTAAACAGGGAAAACCAAACCCCACTCCCGTTGTGTCCATTCTGACTCACAGCTACCCTATAGGGCAGAGTAGAACTGCCCCACAGGGTTTCCAAGGAGCAGCTGGTGGATTCAAACTGCCAACCTTTTGGATAGCAGCCGAGTTCTTAACACTGTGCCACCAGGGCTTCTTAAATAGGGAAGAGCCCGACCTATTAACCTTTAACCTAAGAACTACAGAGATAGAATCTTTATGCACAAAGACAGTGCTTCTGTGTTGAAAACCTGATTAGCCTGCCCTGGCAGGGTGACATCTGACTGTAGATGAAGCATAGCTGGCCTCTGCAGAACACGGTGCCCCCTCTGACAATTACCAACATGGGCACCAACAGCTGCCAGCCACCGCACTAAGGGCGAGGGCTGCTGACAATAAGGCACTGTTCCTGCCCTCACAGAATCTTATGAGGTTCCCTATAAATTACTATGTCTTTTGCATTTTAAAAAAGTTGTCATATTTTACATCTTTTAAGTCAATTTATGGCACTAACAATCTGATACCAAAGAGCCTAATACTAATGGTGAAGCTCTCTCAGCAACAGTGATATAAAGGCTATTTTATCTACATTAATCATTAGGGACTAACACAAGTTAAAGACTGAAAAAAGAACAGACTTATATACAATGATTTCCAAAACACTAAGTGAAAAAGCAAGGTGCTTAGCAATGTACACAGAATGCCGCCAGTTGGGGAAAATTGCTTATGTGTGCATAGAATATCCGTAAATATTGGAAAGGAATTCCTGGGAGTCAGGACTGGGAAGGAGACTTTTCATGGTTCACCGTTTTATACCTTTTGACATGCATTCCATGTGTTAATTCACTACCTGGTCCAAAAACAGGAGGGTGGTGGAGACACTCACCACGCAGGCCCCTTAGCTGCCTTTTATCAAAAATTCTACAGTACAAAGTTCGCTCAGGAGAAAATGTCATACCTGTAAGAACTCTTCTCACAGAATGAAATGTGGAGGTAAAAATGGAGTCCTTCTTGGGATGGAGTTCTGGGGCCAAAAGGAAGAGAGTTAAAAACTGCAAGGCTGCCTGAAAAGATGGAACGTTTCCTGCTAGAGCTGGCAACTCTGACAATATCTGAGAGTAAACAGTCTGGTATAGGGTGGCATGGGGAAACAGAACTTTGTCCGACACTTCGGAAATCTCTGCCTCTCTGTCTCTAGAGTACTGGCTCACATCTGCTTCAAGGAGTGTGGTGACCGATGAGAGAAGGGCCGAGGGCAGGCACCAGCCGGTGGCCCTGGGCTCTGAGCAGAGCTGCAGCACAGCCCCAGTCTGCAGAATGGCCTGCCGCAGCAGCTCAGGCAGCACCTCTGAGGGTTCCCGTTGCTGCTTCCGTTCTTTGACAAAAGGCCCCAAGACTTGGCACAACTTAGTTAAGGACACCAGCAGGAGTTGCCTGCCCAGGCAAGTCTGGTTTTCCTGCTGTTTGCCAGAAGCTGCTTCAGTGTACAGTTTGCAGCTTGAAAGAAATGTGACGATTTTCCCAAAATTGAGCACCAAACTCAGCTTCATCTGGATGAGTATCTGCATTAGCTGTTCTAAGAATGTCCCTATCACTTGCAGAAATTCCAACCAAGAGGGGTCATCTATATCAACAAGAAATCGACTACTGGCTTTGAACAAGGAGGTCAGGACGATCTGAAAAATATCACTGGCATACACAATCTTGAACACCACATGGGCACTTCTCCCTCTCTGCAGGTAACCAAGAAGCCGGTAGCAGGTCATCAAAAACTTGAGGGTTAGTGAGAAGCAAGCGCTCCCCAGCTTGGTGATGGCCATGGACAATAACAGGAGAAAGCAGTGCACGTGGTAGGCAGCCAAGAGACTATCCAGCTGTAGAGCAGAGATAACTTCCAAAAGCTCCAGGATGCTTTCCAATTGTCCTGCATCCAGCTCGATGGGGAAGTCACTCTTGACCAAGGGTAGTAAATTTTGGGCAATTTCTCCCCTTGACTCTATACCTTCCGGTCCAATATTTCCAAGTCTGTTTTCCCAATAAGCCACAACTGTGTGGTCTTTTTCAAAAAGCCAGGGTAGCTGCTGACTGAGAAGACCCACGTCACCCTGGGCACCAGAAATCAGAATGTTAGTACATCTTGCAATTACGCACATTAAGAAAACAGAATGAAGGGACTGCATTTCTGGAAAGAGAGGGCTGTGAAGGATGGCCTTGGATAGCTTTTCAAGGGTGACACAGGGCTCTTCATCTGCTGGGTTTTCCTGGGCTTTGCTTATTGGTAAATTCCTTAGCAGGACACTAGCTAGGTATCTCACATCATCTGGGCAAAGGTAGGATATCAAAATTGTGAGATTTGAGGCAATCAAGTGCCAGTGTGCTACAGGGTAGGTGAGAACACTCACAGTCCCCACACGGCCATCCCAGGAAGCCATCGTCCTTTGACTCAAGCTCTCTTTGCCAGAACGAAGAATGTAGGCAGCATCATACCTCAGGGTCTGGAGGGCTTCTTCAGACCGGAAACTAGCTTGCATTAAAGTCCTTTTCATCTTCTGCAGGTAGAGCTGTTCTAAGCAATACCTGCCGAGAGAGTCAAACTGAGCTGTGAGCTTTTCTATCTTCTTCCAATGTTTTGTTTCTACACCTGGGAGCAAAGAAGGGAGGTCTGAGATCTCCAGAGCAGCACCTATGAGGGGCCCAGATACAGAGTGATATTGGCTACAGTTTAAACTGAGCATAGTGTCCACCTGGACCCATGTGTAAGCCAGCAGGAGTGCAGAGTCACTGACCTTCTGTTGCCACAGGCCGAGCGCTGGGCCCCGGGAGTCAATGAGGAGGTGGAGCAAGGGCTGCACGAGCCCACGGAGCATGCTCTCCATTGTGCACTGAGTCCGTCTGACCACAGGCAGTGGGGTGTTGCTGTCCAGGCTCCTCATGTTAAACATGACACAGTGTAGCACTGAGCTCAGTGACAGTGACTTCAGGGCCATGTCAGTGTCACCCAGCAAACAAGGCAAGACCAAAGACTGGAACTTCTCCAGCACGAGGGACCATGTGTCCAAGATCTGATTTGAAGGCAACTCCAGAAGGCACTCACAGAGCACTGTGGACGGGCCCAAGGACAAAAGAGGCTGCCTCAGCTCCTCAGCAGCTGGGCGACAGATCACACCCAGAATGTCCTCAAACAACCACGGTACTTGCCGGAGTTTGGCATAAGTCTGGAACAGAGTGTTAATAAGCACCTCCTGAGCTTTTCTGGTTCGAAACTCTGTCACTTCTGCATCAACCCAAGCTGAAGCCACCAGGTCATCCAGGTCTGGCTCCAAAATCAAATGATTCAGAGAGATCAAAATCTTGAGACAGCGGAACCAGGCCGGGACAGATGCTTGCGGATGGTTTATCAGCAACTCAGCCAAACGGCGGTAAAAATGGAACTGAACCTCCCCATGCCGGATCCTGTCAGCAGCAATGTTGTAGATGTTGTTGTTGACCACTGCGTTTAGAAGCTGTTCCACAACTAAAAGTTCTGTGGTCCAGTCTGACATGGACAGGGCTTTTACCTGCCCCTCCTGCAGACGTGAAATCCTCAAGCAGCCAAACAGCTTGGGGAGCACATGGAAGCACAGCAGCTGGTTCTCCTCCTTGAAGTAAGACTCTAGAAAGAGCTTGTACAGCAAGGCCACTGAGCTGGCCACAACAGCTGCCTGCAGGGATGGCTCACAGTAGCCAGCACCTACCAGCTTGGCGACCATGGTGTTGATGGGCGTCAAAAGGTTCTTCATAGCCCCCATCTTTGCACTGCCTTGCTGCTGTTCTAAGAGCTCTTCTTTATAGGAAGAAAGCAGCTCAGGCTGAAAAGCTCCGCCTCGAAGCATAGCCTCTATCTGATTCCTAATGTCCCGGCTCAGGGCTTGCCGAAGCTGTCCCTGACCGCCCTGTGTCCACTGGCCCACCGAGAGTAAGTGCCGCAGGACCAGGCAGGGCTGGAACAGGTGCCCAATCATTTCCCCAAAGGCACGTTTTGGGTTGACCTGCTGCTGCTGGATCAAGAGGTAATGCCCAAAGGCTAGGTGGATGACCTCAAACAACTGGGCTATGACAGCTCCTTCTGGCTGCCTACAGGCCGACTGGCACAGCTGGCTCAGGAGTGCCACCATGAGCTCCTGCTTGGCCACATAAATGACAGCAAGGGCAGGCGTCGAGAGGATGCCCTGGCAGCAGCTCAGGACAGCACAGATGTTTCTCTGGGATCCCAAAAGAGAGAACTCAGCTATTCTTTCATTTATGATCTGAAGATTAAAGAATAAAGAGAAGTCATTACTAACTCATCACCCTAATCCCACACATACACAATAAAAGTACATCAGGATCAGTGAACTCACTCCTTGCCCTCATCTTGATGAGACAGAAATGCCCAGGTTATCACATCTAAATCATCTTGACATTTTCTTAGTGCCCCAAAAGGCAGCAAGTAACTCTTTTAATTACTTCACATATCAATCTCCTACCCATATAAAGGGGCAGGGACCAATATCCTTGTAAATTTGCTGTCCCTCTTTAAAGAGCTGGGGTTTGTAAGGTTTACATTCCAATGGTTATTTCTTCTTAGATCCTAAACCTACAATTCAGCTTAGATGCTACCAAGTGGATGTTACTTTGGGTATGACCAAAATATATTTTTATAGTTAATTATACTTTTTCTATTGCAAAAGCAAAAGGCACCCTTGAAAAGGAGAGCAAATGTTTCCAATTACCACTTATTATGGAGTAGGCCCATAGTCTACTGCTTCCGAAATTCCCAAATTCATAAACACCAGAAATTACGATGGCTGGGCAGATTCCTAAATTCATTCACACTGATTTGCGTCCAGCCTTTCAGCATCTAAGAATCAAATTTGTCCTGGTTGCTAAGTCATCAGTAGCTCAGAGTTAGATATTAATATCTCCATGCAAATAACTGCTGGTCATGGACCTTTTAGTCACTCTGGAAATGCTGAAACAAAAACAGTTCAGTCCTTGAATGCCAACAGACTACCAAGCGGTCTCCAAATTGTTCCACATTCACACCCAGTATGTGTAATTTGTTTATAAATTGTAGGCATGTACTACAGAACTAATGTTTTAGATACATTATAAAACATACATAAAAATAAAAATTAGATAAGTATGATACTTCTTTTAAGTATAAAGAGATGGTCTAAGATTTTCTTTCCACGACTTGTCTGTTTGTTGTACTGTGGTGGCTTCAGTGTTGTTGTGGTGCTGGAAGCTATGCCACCAGTATTTCAAATACCAGCAGGGTCACCCATGGTGGACAGTTTTCAGTGGAGCTTCCAGACTAAGACAGACCAAGAAGAAGGACCTGGTGATCTACTTCTAAAAAACAATTGGCCAGTGAAAACCTTATGGATGGCAGGAGAATACTGTCTTACACAGTGCTGGAAGATGAGCCCCTCAGGTTGGAAGGCACTCAAAATACAACTGAGGAAGAGCTGCCTCCTCAAAGCAGAGTCAAACTTAATAACATGGATGGAGTAAAGCTTTCAGGATCTTCATTTGCTGATGTGGTGCAACTCAAAATAAGAAGAAACAGCTGCAAACATCCATTAATAATCGGAATGTGGAAATTACGAAGTATGAATCTAGGAAGATTGGAAGTCATCAAAAATGAAATGGAGAGAGGCAGAGGGAACAAGGAACCTGGGATGGGGAAATGGAGTGTTGACACATCGCAGGGACTGCAACCAATGTCACAAAACGATTTGTGTATAAATTGTTCAATGAGAAAATAGTTTGTAAACTTTCACCTACAGCACAATAAAAAAAGAAAAGAAATAACTCAGGTAATAGAATTAGTAGTCAAGAATACTGAAAACAGTTATCATAACTATATTACATATGTTCAAGAAAGATTGAACGTGATAACTAGAGACATGGAAGATACAAAAAATTCCAATTTAGATTTTAAAACAAAAAAAATACACTGGATGATAGTAATAGTGGAATAGACACTGCAGAAGAAAGGAGTGGTAAATTTGAACACATAGCAATAGAAATGCCCTAAAATGAAATACAGAGAAAAAGGAATTAAAAAATAAAAGCAAGCAATAAGAAAACTTCAAGTAGCATACAATTAGAGCAATGTATAATTAAATCCTGAAAGTGGGGAGTGGGGGTGCATAGAAAAATATCTGCAGAAATAAGCACCCTCAAATTTTCAAATGTCTCCAAATTTTAAGCACACAGATTCAAGAAGCTCAATAAACCCCAAGCATAAGATACATGAAGAAAACTATACCAAGACATATCCTAATCAAATTGCTTAAAACCAGCAATAAACAGAAATCATTAAAATCAGCCACACACACAAAAAAGATCTATTACATAAAGCAACAAGTGTAATAATGACAGAATTCTCATCAGAAATGACATAAGCCAGAAGACAGTGACACAACATGCTTAAAGTACTGAAAAAAAAACCTGTCAGCTTCATATTCTATACCCAGAAAAAACATCTCAGAAATGAAAGCAAAATGACATTTTTAACATACAAAACATGAAAAAGTTCATTACCACCAGACCTTCGCCACAAGAAATGTTAAAGGAAATCATTTAGGCAGAAGGAAAATGATGCCACTTGAAAATGCAAATCTACATAAAGAACACTAAAAATGGTAAATACGTGGTAAATATAAAATTCTTTCTAAAATTATTTTTTAAATCTTAAAAAGATAAGAGACTTTTTAAAGCCAAAAAATAAAAAAGGCAATATTATATGAGGTTCACAGCATACGTGGAAGAAAATGTATGTTATGGATTGAATGGTGTCCCTCAAAAATATGTGTTGTAAATCCTAACCCTATACCTGTGGTTATAATCCCATTTGAGAATGTGTTTTCTTTTTTATGTTAATGAGACAGTATTAGTGTTAGGTGTATTTTAAGTCAGTCTCTTTTGAGACATAAAAGTGATTAACGAAGCAAGTGAGCAAGCAGGGATAGGGGAAAACAGATGCCATGCTACGTGATGATCACCCAGCAGCCAGGGAACAGAAACTGAAGAGACGAGGACCTTCCCCCAGTGCTGACAGAGAAGAGCCTCCCTCTTGAACCAACACCCTGAATTCGGACTTTTAGCCTCCCAACTGTGAGAAAATAAATTTGTTTGTTACAGCGAAAAAAAAAAAAGAAATCAAACGACATACTGCATTGCACAAATATGTTGCAAAAGACCTCTTTTAAGTGTTAAAAAGCAAAGATGTCACTTTGAAGATTAAGGTGCGCTTGACCCAAGCCATGGTATTTTCAATAGCCTCATATGCATGCAAAAGCTGGGCAATGAATAAAGAAAACCGAAGAAGATTTGATGCCTTTGAATTATGGTGCTGGTGAAGAATATTGAATATACCATGGACTTCCAGAAGAATGAACAAATCTGTCTTGGAAGAAGTACAGCCAGAATGCTGCTTAGAAGGGAGGATGGAGAGACTTTGTCTTACATACTCTGGATATGTTATCAAGAGGGACCAGTCCCTGGAGAAGGACATCGTGCTTCGTAAGGTAGAGGGTCAGCGAAAGAGAGGAAGACCCTCAATGAGATGGACTGACACAGTGGCTCAACAATGGGCCCAGACATAACAACGATTATGAGGATGGTGCAGGACTGGGCAGTGTTTCGTTCTGTTGTACGTAGACAGGGTCGCTATGAGTTGGAACTGACTCTACGGCACCTAACAGCAGCAGCAAGATTCTCTTCCCTCTTCCCAAAGGCTAGTTTTGAGTAACCCACTTTGGTGACCATGGGTCTATTGTATTTAAAAAAGTGACATAATTTAAAAGACCCATTAAAGCCTGTGACCCATCACGCAGCTCAACTATTTAATTCTTCACTGTTACTAGCCCCTCTTGACTTTCTCTTTCTGCCTTCACGCTCCTGTGGGTGAGGCAGTGCAGTGGTTCACAGTCTGGGCTTTGCCACCAGGTAGATCTAGGTTCAAGCCTCAGCTCTGCCACTTACGAGTTGTGTGATTTTAGGCACCTTAATCTCCTTGAGCTTTGTTTCATCTATAAAATGGAAATAAGATTCATGTAAGGATTAAACATGACTATGCATGGAAAAGAAACCCTTGCGGCCTATGGTTAAGAGCTACAGCTGTTAACCAAAAGGTCAGCAGTTCAAATCCATCAGGCGCTCCCTGGAAACCCTCTGTGGCAGCTCTACTATGTCCTATCGGGTCGCTATGAGTCGAAACCGACTCAACAGCAACGGGTTTGGTTTGTTTTTTTTTTGATGCATGGAAAGCACTTTAGGCACAGTGCCTAGAGCATACTAACTGCTCATTAGCTGTGGTTTTATTGTCACTAGCTATTCTCATGGTATTCCAAAATATTCGGTTTCAACAATGAAGCTCATGCTTCTGATCTGAGACTTTAGAATCACTTAGAATAAAAACCTTTGAGGAAATCTCTATTTAGATTCTGGCCTTTGATCTTTCTCCATGCCCAACAGAAAGGCTGGAAAACAAAATTACAGGGTACCATAATTTGCTGGCTACCTTTTCCAATTAAAAAGGTAATCAAAAACCAGTTTAGGAAATAGCCCTAAGCTTTTCTTGAACATTAAATAACATAAAGTGCTTAGCACAGTGTAGAGCATATAACATGTATTCAGTAAATAACAGTTGTTACTATAACTCTAACAATTACTATTATTTCCTTCTCCTCCCCTACCTTAATATTTCCTGCATCTTCATATAATTGATCCTTAAACAAATAAGTCTCCAGTGGTATTAACTGCCTAACCTTTGAGTGAGACTGTAATATTTTAAAAGAATCAAATCTCTTTTCAGAACTTAACTATAACTTCTAAAAATACATTTAAATAGGCTAACTCAATTTCCTAAGTTTCACATAACTTCCAAATTTAAAAATGTCAAGTAATCTGCTATTGAGTGAGAACTACAATCTTAAGTATCTTTCTACCTAAATTTATACTTTGAAATATTAAAATAAATCAATTTCGGGCACCAAGATTCATTTGCCTAAGTAAAATCATAATGGTGGCAAAGGGGAAAGAAGGAAAATGCTACTGGGGGAGGGGCCAGGAAGAAACGTGGTTCAATTGCAGAGGCAAAAACTCAGGTAAGCCTGGTAGGTCTCACACCTCCCAGGAGGCTGAAAACAGGAACTCAACCAACACACACGCAACACATACAGGACTGTTATAAGAGACCGTTAATTACCTTGACTAGTGAAATCTGAAGGCTAATCGTCTTTCCATTCTTGAGGAGATTCTGCAATTTTCTGCTGTGTAGAATGTTATCTATATAGATCCACAGCCTTTCAACAATGTCTTCCTTCAGTTCAAGTTTCTTCTTATAAAATGCAACCAATGACTGTCTTGCCCAATCAAGTAATACCTGCATTTGAAGGAAATATACTCTGAAAATAAATGAGCTCCTTTGGCAACAGACATTCATACACTTATAGTAACATTGAAGCCATAACCAAATTCAACCTCCAGAAGAAAAAAATCTCTCCTTGAAAACTGACCTTTGATAATATTATATTACATAAATGTTTTGGTATCTTAAACTGTCTATTATCAAAGAATCAATAAAAAGTTGGAAAAAAGCTTTAATTTTTGTCTTTACCTGGGGCCAACAAACGTCAGATGAAACCCTAGCATGGTCTATCCCTTTCTCTCAAGTTATACTATGTTTCAAAAGTCAGAAGCACAACAGCAATTGTTCAGAATGGTCACAGAATGAATCACACGCATAAATTACAAACAAACAAAAACAGTTGCCACGGAGTCGATTCCAATTCATGGCAACCCCATGTGTGTCAGAGAACTGTGCTCCATAGGGTTTTCAATGGTTGATTTTTTGGAAGTAGATCACCAAGCCTTCCTTACAAGACCCCTCTGGGTGGACTCGAACTTCCAACCTTCCGGTTAGCAGCAGAGCGTGTTCACTGCTAGCACCACCTAGAGACTGAAGAGTAAGCTCTAGAAGACTAGGGCTTGTGTCCTGGCTTTTCCACAGTTTCTGCAGCTAACCTCTATTTACTTAATCTAGAAAACAGACAGTCGATGGGAAATAATGTGGAAGTACTTTACAAAAAGCAGTGTTGTCTATAGATAGTTTCCATTATCGTGACATGTTTCTTTATTCATAAAACACTGTGTAAAGGGTGTGAGGCCTCAGTTCATGCTGTCAGAACTGTCATAATAGTATATACCATGACAGATGCTAGAAAGAAAAAAAATAAAACTCTCAGGATAAGCATGGTAGAGGCCTTGATCAAATGGCCTGCCACCAACTTCCCCGTTGTACTCTCATGCGCACTTTGACAAGGTGATTATCATGCTGCCAAGATGATTCTCGTGTATGCAGCTAGGTTTGGAAGGCACTAGATTTGATAGCTGATCTATATACACTGTACCTCATTATCATTTAACATATGTAATCCATCTTTGATACATTTTGTGCTGGCTTCTTTAACACAAGCACGTGGGTTTGTGCTAATCCAATTTCATGAGCTCATTCATCTGGTGTCTCTATTGTATTAGCAGTATTCTTTGGCCAAATAAGCTTAAGAAATGTTAACTAAGAGCAAGTCACTCTTGGTAGCTTCTCTACTTCCCAACTTTTGATATATCACATTCCAAAGATCTTTAACAAAGTACCAATAAGCAATCGCTTACAGAGCATCGCTTTGGATTTATAAATAAATGGAACTACCTACAGACTTTCAGAACCTAACTTCTGTAACCTAATTTCCAATTTATTCACTAGTGCACATATTTAATTTGTATTATAAGTAATATTTCCAACATTAAAAAATGTTAAATAAGGTTTTGTAACAGAAAAGCTTTGTTAATGGAACACTTGACCCATTATTTATTTCAACTGGCATTAGTTTTAACTTCCAACAAAGTTTCCTCCCCTAACCTTTTCTTTAATTTTTTTTTGTTAAATATCAATATGTGATTTACACATGTGGTAACTGTTTCAGATTTTAAAAATATAAGTTTCAAAAAATACATATATATGGGTAAGTTTCACTTTAAACTTACTTGTTCTTTATTTGGAAGAAAGCACTGGTGGGAAACCCAAGCAAAGTGAGCTAGTTTTAGTTTATCTTCCCAGGAAGTTGTCTTGCTTTTAAGCTTAAGGGAAATGCCAGAATAAACAGCAGCCATTGCTATGCTTTACCTGCAATTAAAAACAATGGGACCACAGTTACCAGAAGAAAAGAAAGATCAGAGCAGAAATAAATGAAATAGAAAACAGGAAAAACAATAGAAAGAATGAGCAAGACCAGAAGATGGTTCTTCAAGAGGATCAATAAAATTGATAAACCACTGGCCAAACTGACAAAGGAAAAAAATGAGAATATATGCAAATAACCAAAATAAGAAATGAGAGCTAGCTGATATTACAATAAAACCAACTGAGATAAAAAAAAGATCATAACAGAAATTTATGAAAAATTCTACTACAACAAATTTGAAAACCTAGAAGAAATGGACAAATTTCTAGAAACACACTACCTACCTAAATTATCAAAAATAGAGGTAGAAAATCTGAAGAGACCCATTAAAAAAGAAGAAATTGAAGAGGTTATTTAAAAAAAAGAAAAAAAAAACTCCCAACAAAAAAAGCCACAACCCAGACAGTTTCACTGGAGAATTTTACCAAACATTCAGAGAAGAGTTGGCACTAATTCTACTTAAACTATTCCAGAACATAGAAAAGGAAGGAAAACTCTCTAATTTATTCTATGAAGCCAGCATAACCCTGATACCAAAGCCAGGCAACGCCCCAAAAAAGAAAATTACAGTCCAATATCCCTCATGAATATAGATGTAAAAATTCTCAAGCAAAATTCTAATCAACAGAATTCAACAGCATATCAAAAAAATAATACATCATGATCAAGTGTGATTTATACCAGGGATGCAAGGATAGTTCAACATTAGAAAATCAATCAACGTAATTCACCACATAAATAAAACAAAGGGAAAGGATCACATGATCATCTCAATTGACACAGAAAAGGCATTTGATAAAATCCAACAACAATTCCTGATAAAAACTCTAAGCAAAATAGAAATAGAAGGGACATTCTTCAGCATAATTAAGGGCACATATACAAAAGCAACAGCCACATTATTCTCAATGTAGAAAAATTGAGAGCATTCTCCTTGAGCAATGGGAAGGAAACAAGGATGCCCTTTATCACCACTCTTATTCAACACTGTACTAGAAGTCCTAGTTGGAGCAATAAGTCAAGAAACGGAAATAAAGGGTATCCAGATTCAAAAGGAAGAAGTAAAACTATCCTTATTCGTAGATGACATGATCCTACACACAGAAAAGCCCACAGACTACACAAGAAACTAGAATAATAGAAGGATTCAGCAAAGTGGCAGGGTACAAGATCAATACACAAAAATCAGTTGGGTTCTTCTACACTAACAAAGAGGACTCCGAAAAGGAAATCAAGAAAACGATACCGTTTACAATAGCCCCCAAAATAATAAAATAGTTAGGAATAAACCTAACCAGTGATGTAAAAGACTTGTAGAGGAAAACTATAAAATACTACTGCGAGAAACTCAGAGATCTACATAAATAGAAAAACATTCCATACTCATGGATTAGAAGACTTAACATCGTAAAAATGTCAATACTATCAAAAGTGATCTATAGATACAATGCAATCTCGATCAACATCCCAAGAACAATTCTTTAATGAAATGGAAAAACTAATCTCCAACTTTATATGGAAAAGAAAAGGGGCCTCGAATAGCTAAAGCAATGCTGAAGAACAAAGTAGAAGGCCTCACACTTCCCAATCTCAAAACTTACTATACAGCCACTGTAATCAAAATAGCCTGGTACTGGTTCAATGACAGACCCAAAGACCAATGGAATAGAATTGAGAACCCAAGAGTAAATCCATCCATCTACAGGGCAGTTGATCTTGGACAAAGGGTTGAAGTCTATTCAATGGGGAAAAAACAGTCTCTTTAACAAATGGTGCTGCCAAAACTGGATATCCACATGCAGAAAAATGAAACAGGATCCATACCTCACACCATGCACAAAAAGTAACTCCAAATGGATTAAAGACCTAAATGTTAACACTAAAACTATAAAGTTCCTGGAAGATAACATAGGGTTGAAACTAGGGGACCTAATTTTCTGCATAAATAGCCTATCAAACACAACTAAAAATGCACGAATGACAGAAGGTAAATTAGGTAACTGGGACCTCCTACAAATTAAATACCTACGAACTGGGAAAAAAAATCTTTGGCAATGAGATATCTGATAAGGGTCTAATCTCAAAATATATAGAAAACTTCAACAACTCAACAACAAAAAGACAAACAATCCAATCAAAAAACAGACAAAGGACATTAACAGACACTTCACCACAGAGGATATTCAGGCAGCCAAAAAATACATGAAAAGATGCTCACAATCATTGGCCATTAAAAAAAAACGTTGCTGTCGAGTTGATTCCAACTCATAGTGACCCTACAGGACAGAGTAAAACTGCCCCATAGGGCAAAACTACAATGAGATACCATCTCACCCCTGCAAAAATGGCAGTGATCAAAAACACAGAAAACAACTGCTGGCCAAGTTGTGGGGTGAATGGAACTCTTATACATTGCTGGTGGGACTGTAAAATGGTACAACCACTATGGAAAACTGTATGGTGCTTCCTCAAAAAGCTAGAAATAGAAATACCACATGATCCAGCAATCCAACTCCTAGGTATATATCCAAAAGATATAAGCAGTGAAACAAATAGACATATGCACATCTGTTTGTTGTAGCATTATTCACAATAACAAAAAGATGGAAGCAACCTAAGTGCCCATCAATGGATGAATGGATAAACAAATTATGGTACATACATACAATGGAATAGCATGCAACCGTAAACAATAACGAGGAGTCCTCAAATATCTGGCAACGTGGAAGAATTTAGAGGACATTATGATGAATGAAGTAAGTCAATCACAAAAGGATAAATACTGTATGGTCCCACTATTATAAAAAGTCAAGAAAAGATATACACACAGAAAGCAACATTCTTTGATGGTTACCAAGGGGGGCGAGTAATCACTTTCTGGATAGTAGACACTTGTTATTTTTGGTGATGGAAAAGGCAATACCAAATATGGATAAAGCCAGCACAACTTAACCAAGGTAAATAAAGACACTAAGAAGCAGACAAGAAAAACGGACAATTTTGGTGAATGCTATAACACAATTTGGTAACAAGGAACAAAAATTGTGGTTATGTAGGTAGATACGTATGCATACATTGTGTATAAGAAGACATATGCGAGTAAATGCATGTGCTTGTATACGTGTAACTATAGGCATATGTATATATGTGTTTGTGTGTGCTGCAGATATATCCATATATATAACAAAGCACATAAGGAGCACAGTTATGGAGGCTTCCTAGGCATATCCAAACAACTTGTGGGATTGGTTTACTGGGTTAAAGGGCATAGGATAGCAGTCTCAGGGGACAACTTAGTCAACTGGCATAACATAGTCCATAAAGATAATATTCTACATCCTAGTTTAATGAGTAGTGTCTGGGGTCTTAAAAGCTTTTGAGCAGCCATCTAAGATACAACTATTGGTCTCTACTCCTATGGAGCAAAAGAGAATGAAGAAAATCAAAGGCTCAAAGAAATTACTCCACAGGATTAACAGCCCACATGAACAATGGCCTCTTCTAACCTAAGACCAGAAGAACTAGATGGTGCCCGGCTACCACCACCGACCGTTCTGACCAGAGACACGATAGAAGGTAAAAATGCAGAACAAAATTCAAATTCCTCAAAAAGTCCAGACCTACTGGACCAACAGAGACTAGAGGAACCCACGTGATTATCGTCCTAAAATACCCTTTGAACTTGGAACTGAAGCTTTTTCTGGAGGTCAACTTTCAGCCAAATAATATATTGGCTTATAAATTAAACAATATCACCGTGACGAATGTGCTGCCTTAAACAATCAACTACGGGAGACCAAATGGTCAGCATTTGCCCAAAAGGAAAGATGAGAAGGCAGTGAGGGGAATGAAAGCTAGATCAATGGAAACAGAACAGAATGGAAATAATGAGAATGCTGATACACTGTAAAAACTGTAACCAGTGTCACAGAATAATTTGTATAAAAACTGTTAAATGGGAACTTAATTTGCCATGTAAACTTTTACCTAACACACACACACAAAATCCCAGTGGAAAAAGTACTGTATATGGTCAAACTCAACAGGCACCAGAAAATGAACGTTGTGTACCTTATTGTCTACATAACACATACCCAAAAAAATCTCACTGCCATCAAGTCGATTCCAACTCACAGTGACCCTATAGGACAGAGAAGAACTGCCCCAATGGGGTTTCCAAGGAGTGGCTGGCAGATTTAAACTGCTGACCTTTTCGTTAGCAGCTGTAGCACTTAACCACTGTGCCACCAGAGCTCCAACATAACATACGTTCCTTTAAAAAAATTTTAATGAATTAAAGCACATTGAAAAAACTGTTGGATATAACTCTATACATAAGATGTCTGAACCCATAAATTTTCTGGTGGAAATTCAAATAAAAGCAAGTAAAATATGGATCACACACACACGTGTAAGTATTCCTACTGTCCTCAAACTCAGGAGTTTCCCCAGAGATTAGTGTTCAAGAATTCAGCTGGCCAAAAATCAATGGGTTCCAACTACTTGGGGAAAGAGATTTGTCAAACATGGTTTTAGATTTAAAAAAAAAAAAATTCAGCTTCTGCACAAATATTCTAAAATGTACTATGCATTATGTATTAGTACCAGCTCCATTAAATGGGTCAAAGAGATAAATAAGCAATAATTAGGACAAGGTAATATTTCTCCAAGCGAAAAAGAAATATTAACCTAATCCCAATAGAAATATTGTTATTTTAGTTGTAGCAATAACTTCCCACTATAAATTTACTCATTTATGTATAAACTTAAAAGCACACACTGCTTCCAAAAAGACTGCAAAAAAACTTACATAATTAAAAACTGTAAAAATAGAATGCAAAAAAATCATGAAAAAGTAAAAGCAAACCTACGATTATAAAATTGACATAAACTTAGTCTTGAGTTCCCTGAAAGTCATAGTTAAAATACCAGGTTAACATACCAGGTTAAACAATTTTCATTATATAAAAGAAACCCGTTCAAGAGAGAAAATTTTTCAGGATACCTAATAAAATTATCATACCATAGTTAACATACCAGGTTAAATAATTTTCATTATATAAAAGAAGCCCGTTCAAGGGAGAAAATTTTTCATGATACCTAATAAAATTATCATAAATAAAAACAAAGTAGAACAAAATAAGTAGCAAAAAAGATTGCAGTCCTATGATTCTAATCTAAGTTCTGTCAAACCAAAAGAGTTTGGCTGGATCTAGCCAGCATTTTTTAAATCCAAGGCTCCTGAAATCTTAAAGACCTTCAGAATGTATTCTCAGTAAGTACGTAATGAATGAACGAACACTGAGTGAAGGACACTTAGGTTCTGCATGGTATCCTTCACTTATTTCACTACCGAGAACAGGAGCAGTCAAGTCCTGTCAGTTTCCCTACTTTCTCAAAATGCTCAACACCAACTGAACAGCTATTTAGTAAACTTCTAAGTGCAATACGTTAGACTGCCATTGCGACGGCTACAAAGTGCCTAACTGTTTGCTGCACTGGCTACAAAGACGCCCGAGACGCACGCCAGGACTCTGAACTCCCTGTCCGCTCTGGTGGGCTCCACTGATCTTTACAAGGCTGCGGAGAGAAGTCCAGCTCCGGCAGCAACCCCTTTTGCACCGACGCAAAGGGCGCTAAGAAATGGCCCCAGCGAAACAGCAAGAACCAAAGGGAGTCACCACAAACAGGAGAAAGGCGAGGTGCAGCGAATCCCGCTGGCTCCCGTTCAGTGCTGCGAATCGGGGGGGGGGGGTCGGCGCTCACCTGGGCGCCAGCTCCGGGGCACCGGCTTCTCCACTCCGCGGGCAGCACCACGTGGGAGCCGGCACCGGTGCTTCTTCCGCCCGGACGCTGGCTGGCGCGGCGCGGGGGCGGGACGTCGGGCACGCCAGGCATTGCCAGCCAAGCGCCGAGGCGCCTCACCCATTGGCGGAGACGGTTGTGCGTTGAGGGCCGAGCGGCCCAGCCCCACCGGTCCGCTCCGTGTCAGTCAGTCATGGAGCGGCCGCCCGGAGCCGCCGCGCTGGCGGCGCGGAGCGGGGCGCGGGGGC